AGATTCCTCCAATCCTCTTGTGCCTTCTCCCCTATCTGTGGCAGGCAGCAAGGAGAGATTAATTCCATGATGGTGGATGTGAAAACAGCCCTAAAAGATGCAGCTCCTTTCCCTCCCACCCCCAGCTGGGATTTGAGGGCAGAAGACACAAAGCTCGGATTTTTCTGAGCTGTTCATTTTGCATCATTTATTTACAGCAACACAGTAAAGGGAACATATAAAATAACATTTAAATAGGCAAAACACGAAGAGCATCATTAGGAAAGCGTAATAGAGCTCAGATTACCAATTATAATAAAGTAATAAAGTAATCTCTCAAGGAGCTTCATGTACAAACTGCAGAAGGGGAAGGGGAAAAAAAAAAAAGGAAAAAACCTCTAAATTTTCAGAAATATACTTGATTTTGTTTGTTCTCTATTTTGGTGTTGTTCTTAATTTGTTTTTGTCAGCTTGTCTATCAAAAGTGTGACTGCACCACTTCCCAGGGAAGTCAGAAGCTAAAATAGGAATGTCACTCATGACAAGGATACAGGTAAAGCATCCTCTGCAGAGAATTCAGCAAAACCCAGGCCTTGGCACAAAACTCTCAGCACAGATGTTCCCTATTAAAAAAATTTGCAAGTTCCCTCAGCAGCAAGTTTTACTTTCACTTCTCTTGTAACTTTTTATTTGATCCCAGTGGAGGGGGAGAGATATCCAGCAAAAAAGGAAATAAAAAGCCCCCAGTGACAGGCAAAGTGGTGTCACAAAATTCCTGAGGGTCACTGTCCCCACTGTCCCAAAAGCAGGCACCAGGCTGCAGTTTCACCACCTAAAAACTCCTAACTGGGGAAAGCAGAGCAATCTAAACATATCTAAGGAAGATTAATCGCTTAAAAAAATCACAAGCAAACTGATTTAAGCCCAACAGACTCTGGTTAACGTTTGATACGAAGCTGCAGCCTCTAGTTGGGCAGCAAACACTTGCAGGGAATTGCTCATTTCAGGGGAAAAATGAGTCCAACAAGGCTGAAATGATAAATATTTGCGAGATCCCGAGGTGTAGTATCATGCTGAATTAAGGTAATGTCATAATAAGGTAATATCATGTTCCTACACCAACAGTTCCCAACCACCCAAATTCCCGTTTTACAAACAACAATCAGCTCATAAACGAATAAAAAAATCAATAATGCTTCTGGTTTCCTTTCAAATGGCAACGCTGGAAACTCGAAAGCAACCCCCCCAGAGCAGGGAAAGAACACAAAAGTGCCTTGGAATTGAAAGCAGAACTCACAGCTCAGATTGAACCGTCCAAGAGCATCAGATGAGCCGAAGCCTCACAAGTGACAGCTTCGCTGGGCTGTTGAAAGTGCTCATTAAATTGCTGTCAGGGACCGAGGAGTGAGACATCAGGCAACAAAAACCACGCTGCACCCCAAGCAGAAAGGGCAAAATTTAATTTCCAAGTGGCACTCAGCGACTGCAGCACCGGGGGGTGCAGGACACACCCCAGGGCAACACTTACCACGAGGGGGGTCCTGAAGGGTCACTCTGAGCCTGCAGCAAGTGGGACACTGGGTGCTTCTTCCTGCAAGTTGGTGGTTTGGATCGAGTGGGAAGTGGGTTTGTTCTCCTGCAGTTGGTGTTTTGTGCCAGTTCATCACCCAAGGGATGGCACAGGGACTTTCCTGCTGGACGTTTTCATGCGTGGCAAGAACCAAACACCTTCCAAAGGAGCTCCCACTCTCCTCTTACTGCATTTCCTGAGCTCTTTTTTTTTGCCCTGGATTAGCAGGATGTTATTTATTCACCAAATTCAGACACCTCTGGGGTTTCAGCCTTCACGAAACACCAACCAGAGGAGCAAAGAAGTGCAAATCCAGCACGTGATGGGCACAAACCCACGGAATACTCACTGCTCTGGAGCTTCCTTTCTTTCAGGAGGCACATCTGACTTCAGAACGAGCCTAAATTAATTCATTAACTAATCCACTAACCAGCAGAAATTCAGTCAAGGCACTTCAACCTCTACAAAAATCCCCAAGGAAAATCTCCTTTTGCCATCACCCCACTCAGTCCTGCCAAACACTCCAGGCAATTCCAACCTCCCCCCAAAAATCCACCAGACAAAAGGTTATTTCCTTTAAGCTTATTTAATGATATTTGAAACGCTTAAATTTTCTATTTCCCAGATCCTGAAAACAGATTTTTTTTTTTTAAGTGACCAATATTTAATTCCAGAAACATACAACCTGATCAGCTAAGTCATAAAAGAGCTATTTTACAAACATACATCTGGATAATTAGAACAATAAAGTCTTTTTTAGACATTCAAACATGATCAGTAAAAATACAGGATTATTAATAAAGATTTTTGTGTATTTTTTTTTTTAAAGAATACTTCCAGATTTTTTTCTTCTTCTCTTTAAAGTAAATCTCTGTTAAGAGTACATGATTGTATGTTGTACAAAGAAAATAAAAATATTCTAGTATGAAGAGAGCTCCACAAGACTTAATTCAAAATAAAACAGCAGTGTTTTGGCTGCAGTATCCCTTTTGCAGTACATCTGCTTGTCAGTTGGCACCTCTGGGGAGGGGGAGGGAATTGAGGGATTTCTTTGGGGGAGAAATCAACACCAGACACCGGGAGATTGTGGGTCTGATATTCAGACCCCTATTCCAAAACCAGGGGCAGTATCTGTAAATCGGAATATCCGAGTTTTACGAAAATAAAACTGGGAACAGGCTGAGAGCTGCCTGAAAGCTGCCCCAGATCATCCAGACTTCTCCACTCTGGAGGTTTCCTCATCCTGATCCCACCCACAGGATGCTAAAAGAACCTCCCCTCCCTGCACAAGGGGCATGTTCAGGAGATCTAAAATGCTCCAACACCAGCCCAGCATTTGTTTTTCCACAGGAGAAGGAAATTCCCATTCCAAAGAATCCATTTGACCTTTTCTTTTGCTTGCCCATGAACTGCGTAACAGCAGAAGAGAAGTGACCTCTCAGAGGATGGTTCCCACCCTACAAATTTGTTCTACAAATTAAGAAACCCTTGTTATTCTTCTGTTTGGGGAAGGAAAAAAACCACCCTCAACTATTTGGGAGGGGAAAAAAATATCCCAGAGAACAGTGTCCTGCTCTACTATCCAGTTTGGACATGGGAATGTACAATCCATCGACAACCAGGGGCAAACCAAACTGCTTCCTCACGCTGCAAACTGGAATTTAAAGAAGGGAATCTTATGGCTTCAAGGAGGAAAAAACCACGAGAATTCCTCAACAGTGCACTGGGGCTGCAGCTCCTTCCACTGCCTGAGCTCTGGGGGACAGCAGATGTGCCAGGAGAAAGGAACTCCCTGTCATTCCAGGCTCTTCCAAAAGAAGGGATTCCTGACCCCACCATCGTGGGATGCCCTGTTTGGGAGGAGCTGAACCCAAACCCAACCAGGACAGAGCTCGGAGCGTCCTTTACGTCGCCCATAAAACTGGGTTCAATTTTAGGCTTCTCCAAGCGTTCCCAGCTCTTTTCACTGCTGCTGCACCTGTCAGGGATGAAACAAAGCAGTGGTGGAACCATGGGCTACCAGGAACCTCAGAGAAATCCAGACCACCAGGCATTTTGTCTTCAGTCACAAGGAATGAGTACGAAGCAGCCAGACCTTCACAAGCCCCATCTTTGCTGCTCTTCCAGGATATTCTTTTAAAGCCAGACTAAGCACACTCTGTTCTAGAGCCCAGGGATAACCTTCCATCAACTGTGGAAGCCTCTGGAAAGCTTTCAGACCACCAGGGTCACAGAAAACTTCTCCTGGTTCTGGAGTGTGGGGTTGCAGCTGATGGAGGGGAATCAGGGGGGGGAAAGGGTCTCAAACACCAAGTCTGGCTCTATCCCAGCCCTCCTTCTGGCAGGATCCATCCTGGTTTGGGGGATCCTCATGAACATCTGGATGTTTATGACCAAAGGAACCGTGTGGCTGAGGTGAGGAGGGAAGTGCTGGGGTAATACTGACAGTGAATCTCACCCAAGGAGGAGGAAGCTCCTGCCAGCCTGGAAGAGAACCCTTGGGTTTGTGTTGGCAGTGTCATGGTGCTTTGTGCAACTGGCTCTCCAGACAAGAGGAACTCCCCCCTACTCTCTAAACTCCCACCTCAGGCCCAAAATCAGCTGTGCTGCCTCTGCCCATCGTCACATGGACTCTTCCCTTGCGTGTTCCATGGGGAGGATAAGATCTGATGTTCTTCTTACAGACAAAGGACAGATTTTTCTTGCCAGCAGCTCAAACGTTTCACTTAGAGGAGCAGGAGTGGGATCTTGACAGTGACAGCGACCAAAGGCAGATTCTCAGCACCTCCTGATGCTCTGACTGTCAGGGGGATGCACAGGCTTGGCTTGCTGCTCACTTTGGGTTCCTTAAACAGTTTAAAGAGGGTGCAACAGAGATTTCCTTACACCCCTTCCACCAGCAGCCCTACTGAGGGTGTCTGTGGTGTCAGGGACAGCTTGAACCACCCTGTGCCAGGCAGGAGCTGTGCCCTGGGACCAACCTCAGCTGGTCCAGTGACAACTCTGTGATAACCTTTTTGCCATCCTGTTCCCAGACTGGAAGGAATTCCAACAGCAAACCCCATTCCAACAGCAAAGCCCACTCCAACAAGCCTAAGGAAGTCCTAGACAGCTGTTTCAGCCTTCCTGGATTTGCAAATCTCTGTTTCAGCGAGAACACGTTGGCACAAATTAGTTTTAAAAAAAAAAATAGAACAACCCAACTCCACCCCAAAAAAAACCAACCCCAAAGCCCACCCCAAGCCCTCAGCAAGACATACTTTCAGGTACTAAAACTTACTGGCCCTATAATCAGCAGTACCTGTGGCTAACTCCAATGGCAGCCCTTTTTCATTCAGTAGTGAATCAGGGGCAGAGCTGCCCCACATCTTTGAAACACTTCTGGGTTTGCATTTTTTTTTTTCTTTTTTCTTTTTTTTTTTTTTGATCCAGAGAAGAGTTACAAAAGTGCTGCAGGTCCAAGTATTTTTATCACTTTACAAAGGAGACAATGATCAAAGCCAACAAAGTCAAGAAAAAAAAATAAAAAATAAAAAATTAAACCTCTCTTTCTCCTCTCCCAGCCTGATCTTGCAAGTCAACGAAGGAATGGGAAAAGGAAAACTCGCCCATCTCAAGTGCCTGGATTTTTTAGTGCATGGAAAATTCTTGTTACACAGGCGGTGACAGGAGCAATTCCCATGCAGTTGGTTGAAAATACAGGTAATTCCAGCCACAAGTCATCCTAACACCTTCATAAGTAGCTCTTGGCATGGCAGTTTCGAGTTGCCAGCAGGGAGTGCAGAGTCCAGTCCAGTGAAGTAAAGATACACCTGCACACAGGTAACACCCTGGCCCCTCACCCCTGACCCAGGATGGTCCACATGCAGGGGGCTAGAACTGTCACTACCCAGTTCAAACAGAACAAAACAAAATGGAAAAAAAAAAAAAAAAAAGGCAGATTAAAAAATTAAAATGTGCTTTTGATACACGGAATGAAGTCAAATAAATACATTGATTTTTTTTTCTTTTTAAATGTCTAAATACATTTTTTTATATCCTACACCCAAAGCTCTGTACATTTGGTTTGGTTTTTGTTTTTTTTTTTTTTTTCTGTTCTGAAAAATGAATTTCTGGTAGCAAGGAGAGGAGCAGAATAGAATAGACTCCCTCACTGACAAGATAGTGCAGATGCCCCACAGGAAAAGCACCCCATGCCCACTTTGCTAAAGTCTGGTTCGTGTTTGGATGGTCCAAACCCTCTTGTCTCAAGAGTCCACAAGGAAGACAGCGGGTGCTGTGTCCTGATACTCTTCATCCCATCTTCAGCCACTCCTGAAAACACGACTAGCTTTTGTCTGAGGGAGGGAAAAAGAGGACGGGGGGGAAAAAAAGGGAAGAAATGTGGTGAGAGACAAATGTCTGACACTTCTGTGACACGAGAGACATCACCCCCATTTGACCTTAAAACCCTTGTCAGTAATTGCAGCAATTACATGTGCAGGATGCCCAGGGCCAGTGCAAAGGGACCCATGGAACATCATCACATCATCAGAGACCTCCTGGAGGAGCAAGAGCCAGACTGATCACTGCACTCCTTCAGAAACCTCCCCCTGGGACTCCACATCCCCCTGGCCTTCCTCGAAAGAGAGGCTGTACATCCTGAGATGAAGGTGGGGTGAGACAGCTTGAAAATCAACCTTTCCAGGGGAGGAACAAGCTCCTCTGCTCAGCTGAGCCCCAGTGGACTGAGCTGACCTTTCCTGGAGGCAGCAGGGGCTCAGCTCTGTGAGAGCCGCTCAAGGAGGTGAAACACTTTGGTTTTTTTTTTTTGGTGAGGCTGAGAGAGATGAATAATTGACTTTGTGTTCTCTGTTTAATGCCTGAAGCCGAGGAGGAACATGCTCCCAGTTCCAGCCAGGCTGGTTCCTACCTGAGTGCTCTCCTGTGGAGGCTGAGCCAGCCAGCCCTTGGCGTCGGAGAATGGTGTAGTCCTCCTCCACCTCCTGGAAAACAAAACAACCCCAAAGCTCAAGTGGCTCACTGTTTACTGAGCAAACAGAGGGGGCTTCAAATGGGAAAAGAGAAGTTTCCATCACCCACGTTGCAGTGACCCACAGAGGACCTCAACTCCTTTACCAGCATCTCTATCTGACCTTCCATTTCCATGCAATACTCTATTATTTATTTTTTTCCCTTCAGATTGCAGTTAAATTGAAGGCTGGCTACTGAATGTTTCATACATCAAAATGCCACAAACCTCCTGCAGCAACGGCTACTTTGCTTAGAGAATCCCCATCACATAAAAAATGCAGTAAGTTTGAATATAATTTAGCCCGAAAACCTTGTTATTGGATTGCTGCAACTCGGCACCTTCATTTGACACTGGCAGCAGCAGCAGCATGCAACAGATTTGATGAGCCTTTTTTATGCCAGGAATTCATATTCCCTAGGTCAGTGGCCCCTTCAAACCTCCAGTGTTGCAGGCTTGTCCCATCCCTCAGGAACCTCTCAAATCAATATGTGCCCCCCAGAAATATTTGCCTCCCGTCATCCTCAACTTAAATGCAAAGCAAAACAGCACCAAACCCCTGCTTCAAAAGCTTTCAGAAACAAGAGCCAGAGGTAAGGAACAGCATGGCAGCTCTCCCCCCATTCCCCCTCCAAAACTACTTTCAAGCTCCTTTTTTTTTTAAGCCAAAGCCTAAAGGGTACGAGAGCCCTGAAGGTGCTTTCGCAGGAACCACGACACGCACCTTTAGCTTTTCAAGGGCGTCCTCAATGTTCTGGATGTACTGCATGAGCTGCACACGGATCTCCAGGGGCAGGGGAGGGCTTGCCATGAAGGAGCAGGGCTCCTCCACTCCCCCCCAGCGCGAGGCCAGCATCTCCTCGGGGAACGGGGAGCCCCCTCCCTCCGACTGCGCGTCCCGGGGGGACAGCGGGTGCTGCCGGGCAGAGTCCAAAGGGGCCCGGCCACCCCCCGTGCACTGGAGGACCAGGGAGGACACCTCCTCGTCCGTGGAGCTCTCCTGCACCGTTCCAAATCCATCGAGGATCAAATAATTTCCTGCGGGAAGAGAGAGAGAGAGAGGACAGCTCTTCACTTCACGGGCTGGAGGCGCTGCCGGAGAGGGGAAGGCTCTCAGCTCCTGAGGCATTTTAAAATGGCCCGAGGGAAAAAGCTTTTCTGAAAGCTACACAGGTTGTATCACACCAGACTAGTTTGGTTCTGAACTGTGGATTAAAATCTCCATGATTAGATGGACAGGAGTTGGGACTCTCTGATCCTTGTGGGTCCTTCCCAACTCAGGATATTCCATCAACTAAACCACCCACCCTCCTGTTCTTCCAAAATCTCTGTTATAACAGTTGAAAAAGCTGCACTTACACTGATGGTACCTGACAAACCCAACTTTTGGATTTCTAACCTCCCCTTGCCACTTTATGGCACTGAGGATGCTTTTACCTTTAAAACTGAGCTTGCTGATATGTTAAAAAATAAAAGCAATGACAGACAGAAGTGCTTTCACAACCTGCACCTGGCAGGATTCTATCAAAAAATTTCCCCCCAGCAAAACCAGCACGTGGAGTCAGAACTGACTAAAAACAGATCAATCTAATTCTGATGTCCCTGCACAGTTAAAAAAGTAAACAGTGTAAGAGGTGACAAATAAATTAGATGCTTCAAGTTGTTGGCTCAGTTTTAATAATTTAAAGTGTCTCAGCAAGAAAAATTATTTGCAATATGTAGTTGGAAGGCAGCACTCAGGCAGTCACAAATTGGCTTATTCACATGGATTTAATCCAATTTTTAAATAAAAGCATATTTATGGGTAAGAGGTTTCTATATGACTATTAGTCTTGGATCTACCTAATGGCAGCTACTTCCATACAGCATGCACATGAGAGAAACCTCAGCTTCTACAGTAAGTTTAGTGACAGAAACCTGCCAAATATGCCATATGTAGCAATAATAACAGAAATAACACAAATAATAAGCTTTTAAGAGCTTCAGACTGGGGTGAGGTCACAGGAGACTGTGACAGTGCAAAGCTGAATTCTTTTCTTTTCTGAAGCTGGATCAGGAGAAGCCAACACAAAATGGCACCATGAGTCATGGGGGCTTAAAAAAGGGCTTTGCCTTCAGGGAAAACCTTTTCCCTACAACGTCCCAACAGCCAGCTGAGGGATAAAAATGGTCCAGGGAAAGTGCAGTCAGGAGCTTGGATTGTACAATTTTGGTGTGTCCCAGTGTGTTAAACCCCACAGCACTGCACAAACCAGAGAATTAATGAGGTTCATGTCTGCACAGCCCTCTTCAGGGCTGAAATGCCTTGCCAAGGTCGAGAGTTGACTTTTAAGGTAAGCAAGGGAGGAGCCCCTAATCCTGAACCTCACCTGAGATCCGTATTTGCACCTCCTCTTCCTCCTTCCTCTCCATCAGTTCGCTCTCAGAGGGGTTTTCATCGCTGTGAGCCTCCCGAGCATCAAAAAAGTGCTCCCCGCTCTCCTCGGCCCCCACCCCTTCCAGCTCCGGGGTGGACGCCTCCAGGGTCACGCTCCCGCGGTCCGTTCCCAAATTCCCACTGGGCCTGGGGTCTCTCCCCACCAGCTGCATGGCATCCCCTGGGGCTGGAGACTCAGCTGAAGTCCGGAGGCCATAACCAGCTGTGGGCTCCTCAGTTCTGCCTGATCCAGGCTGGAATTTGTCGCTGTCAGAGTGCTGGAGCTCGTTCCCGCTCTCCGTCTGCGCCTCCTGGGAGACAGTCCTGAACCTGGGGAAGCGCTGCCGCTCTTCCAGGGTCCCCTTCTCAGCCAGGCCAAACTGCTGCACCAACAGCTGCCTCAGCAAACCCACTGCAAGGACAGGCAACGTTCACAGTGATTACACCAGACATAAAGGTCACCCCTTCGACCGAGGTGCAGCCTCCTCTCACTGCTCTTGGTAGGAAAAACAGGGATAAAAATAAAATGCATGAAGGGCTCAGGTCTTGCTTCACATTTCGCCTTATAAGTGAGAGCAAACAAATCAGTGCCAGTTCCATCTTCTTAGAGGAAAAACAAAGGAATTGTCTGCTGGAATTAGATGGAGTGCCTGGGTTTTGCCCTGCAAAACAGCTGTGGCTGTGACAGGGGATTCCCACCTGAGGAAGGAGCATCTTGTGACTATTCCACTCGATTTTGAAATATCAGATCAGAAAAAAATAACCTGAAGAAATGTTTTCCCTAAAATTTTATGCAAATTTATGCCTGTTTGAACTTCAACCCACATTCCTTTAGTTCTCAAATTATCCCAACCAAACACTTCAAAATATGGGCATATTGTTCAAAACAAAGCTGGGATGCTGTCAAGAGTATAACTGTTCATCCTCTCCACAGAGAGAGCTCTTGTCACACCCAAAAAAAAAAAGCTATGATGTCATGCAAAGGAAAAGTCACTCATCTCAAAACTTGAGTGACCCTCTGGTGCTGTTGGAGAGCTGCAGCTTTAACTCTGAGCAGTCAGGAGATGGTGTAAGGTCACTAACACTGTCCTTGCACACCCCCAGACTAAGATTATTTTAGCACTGGCCTCTGAAAACGAATACCAAGAAAATTTCTGTAACATTCACAATCAGAAAGGGACTTTGAATCCTGTAAGAAGAAGAAGAAATGGATTAAGAGATCCAAGATAACTCAGAGATTGCAGAGAACTGTCATTACTTGCACAGAGAGAAGGAATTGGGGCCAAGGATAAGAGTGCTCTGCATTTTGGGAGAAGCAAAGAGCCCACAGAGCAGCAAGAGAGACTCTTCCCTCCAAGTACAGTGGAGGGACTGCGTGTCCCTTTTGGAGTTGCCAAGAAGAGATCTATGGATTAATGAATTCATTCAAATTTTAGGAAGTTCTATTTAGGAATTGCACTGCTAGAGCTGATGGAGTCGGTTGCAGAGCCCTGCATTATTCCTCTGAAAGGAGATAGACTGGAGAACAGAGGAAGTGATTAAAAATCTTCTATAAACTATTTGAAAGAATCATCATCTGTCCATCAGAAAAACTTTTTAACATGCACAAGTGTTGATCTAATTATACCCAACCACCTCCAAGTCCTCAGGAAATCAGAACTTGGACTTTGTCAAGTTCACATACATCCAATTTGCAGGATTTTACCAAAAAAAAGTCAAAAATCATGAAACCTCTCATTTCCATAGCAGTGGAGCAGGACAGAAGTCCACAGGCTGAATGCCTTGTCTTAAAAATTCACTGCTGACTAGTAATGGTACTGTCCAGCACTGCACTAAGATCTGCAATATAATTTTGTCCTCAAAGCACTCCAAGGACAGTAACAACTCATTAACACCATCATTTTATACGTGGGAAAACCACAGGAAAACAATGAGACACCTTGAAGCCAAAGGAAGGGTCAAAGTATGAATCCAGAACTTCAAATTCCTGGCTGTCAGATCCATTTTTGCTGTGAAATACAGCACAGGGAGCACTGATAATTAATAGGAACGGGCTTATGATTTTAATTTCGACCACTGATGGTTGACCTAACGATTTCCACCTCTAAAATCACATCCCAGTGGATGCTGCCCATGGATACTCACAGTTCCTCAGTGCATCCCGTGCCCACTGCCCCTCTGACAGTGAGGGGGAGCCGGTGGCTGTGTGTTCATAACCTGCAGAGGAGCCTTTGAGTGTCAGCTCTGCCTGCTGCACCTTCTCAAACTGCCCTTCAGACACCAGCAGACTTTCCACCTTGGCCTTCTCAGACATGATGGGGGAGGAGGACTGAGCGTTCAGTATTAAGGGAGATTCCAGTCCCAAATCTTTATCTGGTGAACAGACAAAGAGACGTTCAGGTTAAACAGCCATGTCAAATATGAAACAGATGGGAACGGTCAGAGGTGCATTTCCAAGAGGTTCAGCATCGTTCCTTCCCAGAAAAACACCCAAGATCCCCAAGCCAGCAGGAATATGGCTTGGCACATCTGCACTCCATGCAGCACATCCACTGAGCCCATTTACCCGAATCCCTGTTTTTTACCTGGGCTTTGGAGGCTGCTGGCAGGAATGTCGTGCTGCTCTTTGAGCTTCTGCTGCTCCTCTTCCTCACGCTCCTCCCTGCAGGGGGGGAAGAACCAGCACGTTCCTTTAGTCACATTGATCTGAGCCTCTGCAGGAGAATCCCTGCTCTGGCTGGCAATCTCTGAGCAGGAGGGGGTGCTGGAAAAAGGAAAACCAGCCCTTCCTCCTCCAGCTTTTACTTACTCTCCAGGGCCTGACTGTGGTAATGGAATCACTCTCCTGGCACTCCCCATTTTCACAGTCCCTGCCATCTGGGCTATAAGGTCCTGCCACCTGCAGCAGAAACATCAAATAAAGACATGCAACAAGTTAAGCATAATGAATTCTTTTCTGTTTAACACCTCTTCAATCCAGCTAATACATTTTTTATATATATACTTTATTACTGCTTTTCTGATCAACAGAAACAGCTTTTTGTTAAAGTTCTGTTACATTCAATTCCCCAGTAACACTCTGCAATCACTCACCTCACCAGGATACTTTTCAGCAGAAGGAAATGACAGACAGGACCTTAGCAGTTGTCAGATAAACCAGTTATTTTATATATAAATATATACAAAAGCATTATTTCACATATTATGTATGTATCCCATGAGTAAGTCTTACACTTCAGAAGAAAAGCATTTCTACCAAAAATGAAATAAAATCTTTTAGCCAGGGAATCTAATTCCTGCCCTGGGGTTGCTTATGATGCCAGCATCCAAGTCTGCAGAGATACCTGGTTCTGCATGAAGATGCAGGATTATTTCATCTTATCTGGCAGTCAGTCACATAAAACCAGAACTTCAAGGGTAAAAAAAAGGCATTTTTAAGGTCAGAACAGGTCTGGAGCGAGTCAGGGAGCAAACACAACAACAGAAACACTGTATGGTTTTGGGGTATGTAATGGGCTATGTTATGGGGTATGGATTTGGGGCTTTTAATATGTATAATACCCATGCTCACTAATATTTGTGTGTTCACCCTCTCCTGCTTTCTCCAACTTAGGAGAGACTTAGACAGATAGCTGTGTTTTTTGCTTAGAGGAGGAACTCAGGGACACCTGCACAGGTACTAAAAGACCCCTGGAGGACACCAAACCAAGCAGCAGCTGGAGCTGAAGCAGTTACTTACACGTTCTTCTCGGAGACAGTCTGTGCTACCAGCTCGTAAATGTGAGCGCCGTTCTCCGACATGGAGATGACGAAGAAAGCTTTGTTATCTGCACCAGCACAGGGAAGGAAGGGTTTAATGAGGTGCCTCGTGCCACACAGCTTTCTGAAAAGTCCTAAAACAAGCCATAACCCCGGCCCAAAGCAAGGACAGAACACTTCATGAGATAACCCTCCAGCATTATAATTATGGACACATCGACCTTGCCCTATCCAGGAAATTTGTCCTCAAAAAAAAAAAAATTAAAAAAAAAAGCCATTTAGAAAAAGCTTTATTTCTCCTCTGTTCCCTCCTAATAATTTCCAGAGTACCTTTCATCTAACACAATCAGAGTACTTTAATTTAGAAGCCTATTTAAAACCCCAGCAATGCCTATTACCAATGCAGAGGAGTTAAACAGCTCATACATACTAAGCACGATGTTGGACAACCAAGAATTAAGCCCACGCAGTTTCCCCGTGTTCTACTCTGGATCTCTACACAGAAACTTCTATCCTCAGCTGAGCTAAGCTTTATTTTTGGCTTCTCCTTTTGCCTCCTCAGTGGGGCACACTGACCTGTTGCCACCTGACGAACCAGAACGGTGTTGAGTTTGATGATGGGGCTGAAGGTGTGTTTGCTGTCGGCCGTGGAGGCCAAGATCTTACTGTGGCACTTCAGCACCAGTTTATCATCTTGTTTCTGCAGCAGCACCAGGATGTCCTCCAGCAGCAGAGTGTAGAGATCTGCCCCGAGTGCAAAAAGAACCCAGAATGAGTTAAAGACTCAGAGTTTCCTATCACACCCCTGCAGAAGGCAAAAAGCAGCATTTTTGATTACTCATGCAGAGGCAGCAATCAGTGCTGTGCCATTCCAGGCAAAGCTTGCAAATCTTCCTCGTGAAAACTACAGCAGAAAGCTACAGATGGAATTGGATCATCTCAAGACTGACTGCTGTGTCCCTGCATGGCCCTAATGATGCTCCAGCACATTTCAGAATTGACAAGAATAATTTAATCAGCTCTGAGGAGCACACGGGCATTATTACATGTGGCAGGAAGAAGAATAATTGGGAGCTGAGCAATGCTTTCTCCTTCCCAGCAAGCACACACAGACCCAGGGGAGGCCAGGGGATGGCACAGACTCACCAATGGTTTTGTCACGATTCACCTTCCAAGTCAGAGGCCCTTCATGGAGCATTTTTCTCTTTGTTAGGTCCAAGTTCTGTCACCAGGGGGAAAGACAAAAATTAAAAAAAAAAAAGGAGCACTATGAAATTTCCATGGAAGCAAGTCATGATAAAACACTGGGCTGTCAGAGGGACTCCACTTAGGAGAGAAGCAGCTAAACCCAGTCTGGGAAAAGCAAGCAGGTTGTGAGTGTAACCCAAAATGTTGTGAGAGATGTTTGCTATCACTCTTCCTCTTTCACTGCTCTTTTGCAGATGCTGAGTGTCACAGGGGTGGAGGATTTTCCCACCAAGCCAAGCTCCTAAGGCATTAGGATGCCACCCTTTTCCTAGGAGGAGCTTTCCCACTATCCTGCATCAAGTCTGCAGTTCCAGCATTACAACTGGTTAATGCTTCAGCACTTGATTTGCAAGTCAAGTGTGCCTACAAATGATATACAAATCATCCCAATGATCTGACGGAATTTATAATGTCAATGGATTCTTCAGGCATTTCAGTGCTTGTGACATTTAGATCTGCAGGCAGAAGTGACAATTTTCACAATTCATCCCTTCCAAGTCTCAGAGTCTACAATCAATGACAGCAAGATTTCATAACTGCCAGTGAGTTGTTCACTTCCTCTCTGAATGCCTGCAAGTTTTTTATTTGTGGGAAGGATACATGGCACGGTTTTACAGAAAAGTCTTCAGATAAAAATTATTTTGGCTACACACTGGCTTTGGGGGAGCAACCAGCAAGGAACCAGCTTCACCAACATAACTGCAAGGCTTTACAAGGGCCATGAAGCAGAACATCTGTAACACTGGACTTTAGACTTTATTTGGCTCTACCTGTGGATCTCTTACACAGATGAGCCTGTGCACAAGCTCTTCTCTTAAAGCCAACTGCACTGCTACAGCTCATGGCTCTCTGAGGCCTCCCCACTTCCAACAGCATTCTTAGATGTGCCATCACATGAGATATAATCCCCAATACAACTCATCACCCATCAGGTATCTCTTATGGGATACACTGCTTGAGCTTTGACCACCAAGATTTGTTTCCCAGAGCTGACAAGCTCCCCTAACACCATTATGTGCAGAACTGGGTTGTTATATCCACAGAGATCTTGAGGAAGGTGGCAAAACTCACATTTTTGAGACTCATTGTTTTCATTTTTGTACAGAATTATTTACCTCTGAAGACCACTTGACTGCACATCAGAAGGCTGTGGTGGAAATAAGCACAAACTGAATGGCAGGGTTGCAAACACAATTTACAAAGAGAGGGGTTTCGTGTTTTCAACTCACCCTGAACTCATCCATCATGGGATCCTCGGACTGCTTCAGGTAGGACAGGTCGAGCCGACGCTGGTAATCTTCCAAATGCTGCAGAAAACACACCCAAAATGGTCACTTTGAGCAGCAAAACTCCCTGGTGTCACAGTGTCCCTGGTGTCACAGCAGGCCTTTCCATGAATACACCCATGGGTATCTCCACACGCTCCCGAACTCTGGGATCCTCCTCTCCCAGGTGCCACAAAACATCTTTAAGCGCAACATAAAGTCACAAGTAGAGTGACTCCAGGTGCCTTAAATGGCTTATATTGTTCTCCCCCACCCTCAGCGCTCACTCTGTCACCTCCTACCTGCTTGTTCTCTGACTCCTTGACAGCCTGGTTCACGTGGTTGAGGATCTGACGACAGTGATCTGCTGCCTTCTTGACTTTCTCCTTCTCTTCAGGCAGTTCTGCGAGAGAAGAAGGGAATGTTAACAACACTTCCCAAAAGAGGTTTGAGAAATCAGCAGCCTGGTGCAGCTTGCTGACCTCAGATTTGAGAAAGGGAAGTTAAACTCGCAGACGAGTCTTATCAACAGAAGGTGCAGCGCAGAGATGAAGTGATAAAAACAAGATCTGTGGCAGGAGATAATTCATTCTAAGCTGCAGATCTTCACACCCAGCACAGTGGTTGTCGCTCTCCCTTTTCTGAGGGGCTTTGTGACAACTATTCACTGCACAATAACCTGAGCAGGACTCTGAGAAACCCAAAATCTTCACCAACGCTCCACTGTGGTGCAAAGGGAATAGACACAGGTGAAGCCATCAATTCTCACCACCACGAGCCACACTGAGAATTTAGTTAACAGGCACATAAACCAGTTCATCAAAGATAATGGAGTGTCACATGCTTTCCTAATTATGATTAGGGTGAACTTGTAAATGCAGCCTATTTTTTATGAGTAATGAAATTACACTGCAGAAGGTATCAGACAGTAAACCTGGAAAGGCTTTTTGTGATATTATTAATCACGCTGTAGTGCTGGAATCTTTCAGTGTAACACATTCTAACTAAATCCCACCCTCTGCAAGAACACGAGAACCTTGTGATACTTTAGAGATTCAACAGATTCACTTATTTCACAGTGAATTTCCCCTAAGAAGGAACAAATACTTTGTATTTTGGCATACAAAGGATTTTCCTTTTGGTTATGTTTTTAGCCTGCCCTCCTGTGCAGGAGGTCACAGCAGCTGAAAAATTGGACAGTTCTTCAACACATGCTTTGAAATCGTTTTTACCTTGGAAAACCTGCTGAGGTGGATCATAAACCCCCGTGGAAAAGCTTTACCTGTGTACTTAGCAATGTTATCCAGCAGAAGGGGGTACTTTGTCAACCTCTGCATCTCTGTGGGAATGATATCCTTCAGCTGCAGCCGGCGGCACAGGGGATTGCTCTCAGCATCCTAAATTTGAACAGCACAGTATCTGCATTTGTCATTTTTATTAAGGCCATAATTACCTGAATGCATAACATCTATTCATCACATAAATGTCTATTACTCCGCTTTCCAGTAATTAAATACAAGACAAGAAGTGCCAAGATCTATCACCCAGACAAGGCAGCCCCTTCTCCATCTGCAATTACACAGAGGAAAAGCTCATCACCAAAGCAGTGCCTTCCTTCCCTCATTACTTCCCAGAGGCCTGGGACCATCCCCAATCAATCTCAGTCAGCACCACACAGGGAACACATCAGTTTAGGCTTTCACACCGGAGCAAAATACAGTACATTTTTCAATATAATCTTCCCTTGTGTTACCCAAGTCCTCCCCAGCCCGTGGTAATGGAGATAATGTTCTCTCCTGCAAATGCCACAGGTATCCAAGCCCCTTTCCTGGCAGGCAGAGCAGGTGCACATCATCTGTCTTCTGCCCGTGGCAAGCATCGCAATGGCACTGCCCTAAGCACTTTTCCCCAGAGAACTCCTCATCCTTGGGAATCAGCCACCCCAAGTGAGATGCCATCTCCTCCCTGGGACACCGTGTGCCTCCCTGCACTCCACCAGGACATTCTGTGTTCCCCACAATTAAAGGCTCCTCCCCTCCCGGAGCGATTAGCAGAGATAAATACGGCGCTGGAAACGATCCCAATCCGAAGACAATGTTAGACATGATGTCATTAATTACTAGAACTTTATCTACAAGCATTCATTAGGCTGTGCTGGCCCCCAGCCACATCCTCGGGGCAGCTCAAACCCCGGTGTAAAACTCACCTGCACGAAGGTCTGGAAGCGCGAGTCCTTCTTCTGGCGGGACTTGATGACCTCGAGGGCAAAGGGCTGGTTGCTGCAGAACGTGGCAGTGGCATGCTTCAGCTTCTCCTCTGCTGCTCCACTAAACTGTGCCAGAAAGCCAAGGAAGCCAAGTTTAGATAGACTCAAGCTCAGCATGTGCCACCCTCAACAGACACAGAGCCACTGGGGTCGCCAGGGAAGGAACGAACTGGTGGCAAGAGGTGAGGAGTTAAATTTCTGCCCTGGTTTAAGGCTTTGTCTTCCCATTTTCCTGAGGAACATCCCAAACTCTACAGTTCTCCTGTTTCCAGCCCAATCACATCACAGAATGGTTTGGGTGGGAAGGGACCTTTAAAACCCATCCAGTTCCAGCCCCCTGCTGACACTCCCACTATCCCAGGTTGCCCCAAACCCCATCCAACCTGGCCTTGGACACTTCCAGGGATGGGGCAGCCAAACCTTTCCGTAAGGATCTCAGAAATGAAGCCTTCAACAGTGCTACACAACTTGAAAAGGTTCAGCTATGTAAATTCTAAGATTAGAAATAAGTATTTTTAACTTCTAACTGCACCGCAGGCAACACAAGAGAATTTCAGTGTTACTGAAATAAATGGTGCAATTACATTTTTCAAGATCCTACTCTCACCTTTATGTCTCCAAAACTACCTTTCTACTCTACCCACACATCTTAAGGAAATTATTTCTGTTCCTTAAATTACTCTTATCTCTAACCAAATGAAAACCCAAAGAACTTCTTCCTGCTTTCCTTCCACCCTCATTCTCCAGCTCCACAGAAATGACAACTCCCAGACCTTCAGCTCCCATTAGCTGGAAATTGCCTTCACCAACCTCTGCCTCTGTCTGTCATTCTGTGAAACATTATTTTCAAATGCAAGGAAGCATAAAAGAATTTTACCCAGGAAAGCAAGTCTTCCCCAATCTGGCCAATGACAGAAGTCTCGTTCCTTTTCGGACAGTTTTCATCTGATCGTTCAGTGCAACTTAAAAGTAATAATAAAAAAGTAAAATTTTATTAATAGTGGTCAAATTGCTTTATTTTCAGCATTTATTTTAAATTAAAAGCTATTCCAGGGGAAGAGTAGATTTGCAGTGATTTCAATTAAATAAAAACATTATCCTGCAACACGATAAATTTAGCAGAATATCTATGAAAATGCTATGTAACTCCTTTGAACTTCTGTCTCACCTATCTTCAAATGACCCCTAGAAACCATTCCAGTCTTATATTTTCTGAGGCTCAGTACCACTTATTCAAAAAGAGCAATATGTAGAACACAACTCGAGCCACCTGCATAAAATCATACAAGTGATTATTCAGTGGCAGAGCTGCAATTCCCCTTGTGAGCAGTTCTCTCCCTAAACAATCAGGAGGGGCCACCCTTCAAAACCACCTGCAAGACATCAATCTTTTCAGCTCTGTTTTCATATTCTCTTCAGAAACAGTTGTAACATCTTGATGTTGACCCACAAAGCCCATTCATCAAAGCACTGCTCCTTTTATCCAGCAGGAATTGGCACAAGGCAGGCTGTGCACACAGATAAGAGAGAAAGCAAGGACTGGAGCACTGGGCAGATGCTTCCCTGATCAAAATATCTCTGTAAATCAGAAATATAACAACTGTGTGCCAGAGGAAGCCCAGATGTAACGCTCTGTTTTATCTCAAGCGCTGCACGAAGCCGCCTCTTGTTTCAGGGTCACTTTGCTCCAATTTCTCAGCTACTGGCACCCAGAATTCCAGCTGAAAAGCCACCTCAGCCGCTCCTACCATGAAGGCCAAGGATATCCTCCAGGTTGGAGAAGATTTTGCGTTTGTCACTGGAGCTGAGGATCCCTTCCCTGGTCACGCGCTGGTAGAAGACGTTGTGCAGGACCTTCAGCGTGCGGACGTGGGCTCTCTCCGTGTAAAACAGCTCTGAGGAGAGAAAGGAAACAGGGGCTGTGACTCTGTGTGGGGCACCTGGAGCCAAACATGAAGCAAACTAAAGTCAGAGGGTTCAGTTAGAACAGGCTCCCTCAGCAGGGCTTCCCTTGCTGGCCCATGTTCCAGCAAGGAGCCACGCTCTGATGTAATTCCATGTTTGAAAGAAGAGAAGCCAATTGATTCATGGCTCATAACCCCAAACCAACACTGAGCTCTAAGCAGCTCATAAAGCCACACAGAGAGTCCTGCAGGACTGCAAGACCTGGAAGTGAGATGAAGCTTTGCAGGTGAAGTTTGGGAGCAGCGTTTGCACCACGTGTTTTCCAGAAAAGCAAGCTTCTCTTGCTTTCTTGCATAGAATATACTGCAAACTGGCCTTTCAGTACCTTAATATTGTTTAATAACCACTTAACATTGTTTAATAACCACTTAATATTGTTTATTTCTTCTCTAAGGACTGGATCAGTCTCATCTCAGGACACTTTTCAGCAACAAGTCCAATTTTCATCCACAAGAACTCTGCAAGCCACAAGTTAAGAGCCACTACTTTGAGCAGATCAGTGAAAACAGACGTAGTTTTAAATTTAGAGAACAGAGGACAGGTTTCAACTTTTTTTTGTGTGTTTGGTGAGCTAGGAAAGAACATCCATCTCACCATTAATCACTTCTTGGCGCTTGATTTCGTAGGGTTTGAGCCCCATCAGCACCTCTCTGCTCACGAGCTGCTGCCAGTTGGGAGGGTCCATGTCCATGTCGAAATCATAGAGCTCATCTTCGCTCTGCACATCTGCAAAGCCAACACTGTCCATCCTAGTGGGAGAAAAAGGTGTCAGACACTTCCCACTTCAGGCATGGATGTAAGGAAGGGAGAAATGCTAAGTGTATGTGTCAGTTGTAGAGGATTATGAACACGCTCTCTCTGCCAGCTGGAGGCTGTTTGATGTCTGAACCTATAGGCACAGTCTCTAAATTTGCCCTTTACAACTAAGAGTGACTATCTGTTCTTCCAATATTCCCACAACCCTCCTTTTAATGACACAGATCAAATAATTTGCTTGAAGTCAAATATCAAGCCAGTGAAAGGGCACGTTACAATTTCTTTCCTCTGTCTATCTGCGGATCCAGAGCCAACAGCAACACACGGGTTTAAAGAGAAAATATGGAAATGCCTACTCCCTAACCTAACATCCATTCAAATCAGGAGATACAGCAATCACTCCACTTCACCCACAGATCAAAGGGTTTATTTGCATATGATTCACTCCACCTGTCCTATATACATGGCTGCCAGTGTCTGATTCCATATAGGTGTTATTAAAGGAGAGATCACGCAGACAACTGTGCTGGCTCAGAACAAGGAGCACTGCTGCATTCTCTGCTTCATAACCTCTCAGGCCCTGAACAACTCGGTGCAGTTCAAACATTTCTAAGCACACTCACTTGCGAAAAGGTTTTGGTGTTCCCATGTCAACCATTCTGCAAGGAAGAAAAGAAATTATTAGGGAAGCTTATGCCTGAATTCCCCCTGCTCAGACACTCAGCACAACTTCAGAGTACAGCTCTAAGCTCCTCACTAGAACATTTTGTCCCCTGTCAGACTCACCCTCCTGACAGAGAGCTTTTTAGTATTACCCCAGTAGCAGACACAGACCAGTGGTTCTGACTGTACCAATAAAAATGATGTCACTAATATTTTCATGGACTGTTTCAAGCAGCCATCGTCACACTGGCACAGGAGTTGGGACTGCAATGGTCCCCATGGGTCCCTTCCAACTCAAGGGTACTCTGATTCTAGCACTCTCTCAAGCCTCACTCAAGCAGCCACAGTTACCTCTCTGATTCTCCCTCCTCCTCCTGCAGGTTTTCCAAAGGAGATGGAAATTCAAAGGTGGTGTTGGGTGTGCGGGGTGTGCCATCCATGGAGTCACTGGCAGGTGGAGCTTCTCCAGGCTGCTTCAAACCTAGGCAGAGGGTAAGAGGGAAATGTCAAGAGCCAAATTTAGAGGACATCAGGGAACTTCCCAGCCTCTTGATTCCAGCTCAGAGCTGGAGGAACTGAATTCCTGGTAAGAAAAATCTCAGTGGCAAGTCCCAGGTGACACAGGCTGCTGCTGACAACAGCAGGCACCTGAGACTGGGTTCTTCCTGCTGGATGATCCAATGCCACAGTGACAGAACCCACTAACAACAATTTCTGGTCGTGGTAAGACTTCCCAATTCACAAAAGGTGACTAAGGACAGGAAGATCATACCTAATGATATGGAAAGATTTCCTAATTTGTCGAGCTTGTTGCATCAGAAATGTGCTGGGCATACCCCACTCACAACACATTCCATCCTTCCTCTGCATTCACTCCATCCTACCTGTCTCACTGTCCTTGCTTCCCTCTGGGGAGGAAAAGGGCCCCATTGCCAAGGGGGACATGGGGTTGGCAGGTGGGTATGGAGCATCCGTGCCGTCACTGGAGGAGCCACTCTGGCGGATCTTGCTGGAATCTGGGGGCTCTGGGCTCACAGAAGAGGCCGTGGGTAAGTGCTTTGGGTGCCTGGGCTTCTGCATCTCCATGGCTCTGCCAACTGAACAAACACACAGCAGTTACTCTGCTCAAAGAGCCTGTGCCTGTTTCCAGGGATAAGGAGAGGAAGCATTTCGGGACAAAAACGGGTTTGCGTGTCTTTAAAAAATGTATTTTAAACCCAGGAAGTTTACTGACTCTTCTTAACATGAATTTTTAAAGACAGCAGAGACTTTGTGTGGCTTTCAGACCAAAAGGGAACATACATTTCCCTGCCTGACATACTTGCACTGCTGTCGTGTCGACTCGGTCTCCTCGGTGGGCCCAGAATATTGGGAAAGCCTCTTCTCTTCCCTTTTTCCTCTCCTTCTTTCTCTTTCTTGATACTTTGCTGCAGTTAAAGGAAAGCAAACAGATCACTCAGCGCTCGAAATTCAGTTATTTACTGAGATTTCCACTGAGGAGGGAGAGAAACACAACTTATCTTGCCCTTTGAAAAGGGCTGTGAATGCCTGATGTAACCTTTTCACACTGTCAGTGCAGAAGAGCTCCTAACAGTCCTAACATTTCCAAGGAGGCTGGAATGCTGATGGAAATAAGCAGCTACTGTGACCAGATACACCCCCATGCTGTGGGGGACGAGCAATCACACCCCCAGAGATGGGAGTTCTGGTGGAAATATTCATTATGTAACTTGAAAAGTGGGGGTGGCAGGAAGAATAGCTCTCCTGCCATCATCAAGTACGAGTTTTTTTGGGCAAGTTTGTCAAGAAGAGAACTAAAATATACAGGCCAACAGCTGATTAACCATTAATGAGACCATCATGGGATACCATGATCCTCGTGGGTCCCTTCCAACCAGGCAGATTCTGTGATGATATGAAACACTACCTTGATCTTGGGCAGGAAACCGATCCGGCCACGTTTCTGCTCCAGGTTCCGAGGCTCCTTCACTTTGACTCCCAGGTGCTTCATGTAGGTAAGAATCACGTATTGCATCGTGGAGCTACCATGGAAACACACCCAAAAAACCCACAGTGAGGAGAAGGAGAAACGTGTTGGAAAAATGCACTTTGTCAATTAAAAGGTTTTATTGAGAAGTTGATTATTTTTAAATTAAAGTAAGTCGGCTTTCTTCTTGAATATAAAGCAAAGTATCACAGACACTGGGGAAAATTCAGTTAATGTCAGAATTTCTCCTCTTGCAAATGTAAGATGGAGTTTATAAAGATGAAGTATAGGGGTAGAATAGGTTGCCCAGAGAGGTGGTGGACTCCCCTTGGAAGTGTCCAAGGCCAGGTTGGATGGGGATTGGAGCAACCTGGGATAGTGGAAGGTGTCCCTGCCCATGGTAGATGGTCTTTAAGGTGCCTTCCAACCCAAACCATCCTTGTGATTCTCTGATAAAATGCACAGAAGCTCAGGAGGTAAAACTAAAATTTTGAGAATTACACAGAAGGCCTTAAAATTCTATATTAAATACATATAAGGAGTCACATTATAGCTTTGAGTTATGGTAAAAATAAGTTAACAGTAAAAGGTTGCTGTAAGGAGTAGAGTAAAAGCTACTCAGCCTGTTGTATACACACAGAGTGAACAGGACAAGACACAAACACAGAATAAATCAACAAGAAACATGAACTCCCAGTGACAGTAATTTTTAAGATCTGAAACACAGGCAACAAACATCAGATAATAAAAGGTTGAGAGCAAGAGGCTGATGCTCTGAATTCCAATCAGTTCTGGCAGGGGATTTAGTGGGTGAGAGTTGGTGGTACAGCCAGGAGAGGGCTGTCTTGCTCTGCTCAGAGAGCAGAGCCAGCACTGGGGATCTTCCTGCACAAATTTAACACCCCCCAAACTTCCATTACCTCTTGTCTTCTTCCAAAGGCTGAGATGTCATCCTGAAAAGAAAAAATATAATAATTTAAAAATGAAACTCATAAACCAATTAACACCCAGTCACATCCACCCCAGAGCATCAGCAGTTGTGTTCAAAGTGCCCTTTAGGATGTTAAGATGTCCCAGCAGAGAAAAAACAAGAAACTAAAAATCAGAAATAAAGGCTCAGCTGCAAAAATTGGCTTCAGCCCACCTTAAAAAAACAAATGGGTTCTGAAGGTACAGGTTTCTAAAAAAAAAAAAAAGGACTGATCTAATAATGCACAAGCTGACAATGGCAGCATTTCCTCCGCTGTTGGAGCAGCCTCCTGGAAAAAAAACATGCTCCACACCGAACAGGGGAAGTGATGTAAGTGTACTGATGTCAAATTCCAGTTCTGCTATTTCCAGGCTCTTTGTTTTTTGGGTTTTTTTTACACTCCCAGCATTTACACTGCTGTGACTTACAAGACCTCCTCGATTTTAGCGATGATCTGCTCGGCGCAGCTTCTCTCCTTCTCCACCGCGTTCCTGTCCCGCACCCGCTCTGCATCCAGCTTGGTGAGCTCCCCCTCTGCCAGGGTCAATCCCATGCTGCGTTTCTGCCTGGGAAAACAAGGGCAGGGAAGCACCAGTTGAGACTGAACCCTGCCCTGCAACAAAGAGCAGCAGTTCCGCGACACCCGGAATGTCACACGCGCGGAACGACAACGGAGAAGCCGTGGAGGGATTTTTTTAGTGGTGACAGGACAGGGGGAACAGCTTTGAACTAGAAGAGGGTAGATTTAGATTAGATATAAAGCAGAATTAATTAGATATTAAGAAGAAAGTCTCCCCTGTGAGGGTGGTGAGGCCCTGGCACAGGTTGTCCAGAGAAGCTGGGGGGTATTTATAAAGAGAAGCGTTGCAACCATCAATGAAAAGCAGTGATTCTGCAGCAAACTCTTCTGCACACAACCCAGGTTGTGTATTGAAAGTATATACTTGAACTGAGACTTTTTAGGTATGAAAAAGTCCATTATTATACCATTATACACTTGTATATAATATATATACACTTGTATATAAATATACACTTGTCTTGGTATAATATCTGATGTTGGCACAGAGCTCTTATAATTCCACATGAAAAGGTAAATTATCAAATTCTATTACATGCCCATGACAAGTTTGCAAAGTGGATTATTCCGTGCACAAAGGGGAGAGGGGAGGAAAATAGGAAAAAGGGGAAAAAAAATATATAAGCTGATTATAAACACAATTAGTAAGAAGGATTTATACAACAACACCTGAGAAACTATATCCTGAAATTGCCTCAAACAGGCAATGAATTAAATGGAAATTACACAGACAACTGGTGGTACCTGAAATCTTCCAGGTTCCTCTGGACTTCTGGACACACTTTATCTTGCATAGTTTGTATGAACTGGCGGTGAAGCTCTTCAGGAAGGAGTTCTGGCCTTCTCCTGTCTGTGAGTCACAAAGTTAATAAATGATTCTTCTGAGAAGTGTCCCCTCCACCTCAGAATAAAGAGTCACTTCCCTGAATATTTTAACCCATGCTGGAGCACCTTTGTGCCTTTCCCTTACAGAAACAGGCAAGGACAACCTTACCTAGTTCCAAGGAGATTTCATCTGGAACTGGAACTTTGAGATTCTGCAAAAGAGAAGAAAGGCTGGGAGAACAAACACAGCCAACAGCACCCCAATAAAACCCACAGTACAGAGCAGACAAGAAAATTCCCTGAAAAGCCAAAATTACACAATTCTGAACCCCTGATGGTTTTAAAGGGGAGACTCCCATCCTGAATATATATTATATTTCACAGGGATTATTTAATCTAAACATGTGGTGTATAAGCCTCTGCTACAGTATCTGGTTTAATTTATTCAATTTAATTAAATTTACAATTTAGGTCATGACAGTAAAGAATTTTCTCAGGCTTTCCAAAAGGCACATAAAATTTCCCAATCCTTTTAACAGCCACATCAATACCCACACACCAATTATTAACTAAAAGGCAGTGTAAAACTGCTAGAGTTTGCTTACCTATCACTAAATCATTTCTCCTATCAGACAGCAAATTCCCTGTGATTTATTGTGTTACCAGGCATCTGAAACTGTATTAATTTCCTGTATTCACTGGTAACATTTAAACAAAAAAACTTTAAAACTTTTATTAAATTTCATTATTAGTAAGTATGATTAAAAATTTTATTTTTAAAACTTTTTATTTTGGAGGACTTGGGGTTTTTTTTGCCCACTTCAGGCAAGTGGAGAAAGGTAAAAATCAACTTGCTGGATGTGCTTGGAAAGGAGGGAAATGACTGGAACCTACTGCAGCTCTGTCCAGGAAGAACTGGTAGAACTCCAGGAAGACTCTCCGGGTCTCTTTGGAGTTGGTCTGTTTGTACAGGTCAGTGTAAAGGTAGCACAGCTGTGGGAAACAGGAGGGCAAGAAGTTCAGTGATACCACAGCACTTCTTCTAACACCCCTGACTCCAGAGTTTCCTGTCAAATATTTCAAGGAATTCAGCACTGCTGGACTGAAACCCTTCCCAGGTACTTGGGAGTCACAGAGGGAACCAGAGATAAAAACACACAGAGAGATCAGACCTTCCCTGTACACAACTAATGCCACCACCTTTAGCTTTCAAGAGCTAAATATTTCTTTGTGAACAGCTAAATGTAAAGAGGACAGTTCTCTTTGTGCCCCTCTCTTTATCTGAGAAGATAAATTAAAGATTTATCACCCCCAGGCCTGCCTTGCATTTCTCCCCTCGCCAAGTCAAGCCACTGAGTGCTACACAGGGAGATCCTGACACATTCTGGCTAACACCACCAAGGTGGGGCAGGGAAACAATTCCAGAACGTCCTACCAGCGCTGCAGGATCAAACTGGGACACCACGTGGTGCAGGAGAACAGCCAGGTGAGCTGGGCGAGACTTGAGGAGCTCGATGTTCTGGAAGCAGCTGCACTGTCCATTGATCTGTGGGGATACAGGGGAGACATCTGAGTTACTCGAGAAAGCTGCTGTGAGATAAAACCCCAGGGCAGCTGAAATAACTCAGGGTAAATACATCAAAAGCCACTGCTGGGACAATAATGCAGAACTGAATAGAAACTACATAAGCAAATGATATAAGGCAAATTAACATCTAGAAAGCTTGAAGTTATGAGAAGAAAGAAAGGATTACAGGCTCAAAGATGGCATATTGTCATAAACTCCCCAAATGGTCTTGTTTAGCAAGACCAGCAATAACAAGAATCACATTCCCTAATTCTTATTTCACCAGGACTGCTCAACACAAGCAAGTCCTGGAGCACCTGGAGCTTAGGCCCAGAGGAACAGAATGGGATTTCAATAGGAAAAAGGGTGGCTGAGGCCAAAACTCATCCCCACCTGCTCCTGTTCCGTGTCAAAGTCATCATCCTCTGCTCCAATGATCTGAGTCCCCACTCGGGATAAAGGACTTCCAACACTGGACTGGGAATCCTGGGGTGAGTCAGGAGCCAGGGAAGGGAAGAAAAGCACGATGCTATTACTCTCTTATCACAGGAAACCCATTTGACCAAGCTGGAAACATTACTATCCTTTTTGTTCTTCTCCAAACTCCGTGGGAACCCACGTGTCTCCCCTCGGCCTTGGCCAAGTCTGCAGCTCCCCCCTCCCAGAACCACCAAGTCAGATGATTGAAGATCAACTGCATCATCCACACACACGAGCACACCAAGCATGTGGCACATGACAAATGCCATCTTAGTGTAAATGGAGAAATATGACTTTGGAAAGACAGGCAGATGAGGGGAAAATATAACGGAGAAGTCATCCTAAGGATGATGATACGTTCAGACAGGTCTGCACTTCCTGCTGTGCTCCACTTTTACCACTGCTGATAATGCCAGCCTCAAAATGACTAAATAGCCTAAAAAAAGGCTGGACTCAAAGAATAAAACATGTACAACCGCTCTACCTATTTTCTGTCCAGCTGTTTTACTGCTGATTATGTATTTCTTGCCTCTAAATGGCTCTGCTCTTAAAGCTCCATAAACATTTACTCAGCTAATTAACTTTCCCTGCACAATTTTAATTGCATTTTATTTTCTAAAGCAAAGTTCATGAATGCTCCATTTAGAAAGTGGGGGGGAAAGCAGCAAGATTTTAATGGGCCCATCACAGGAGATGCTGTTGTGACACTTCATGATTTGTACTCACAGTATCTTGAACCTCAGGCTTTTCTGGGCTCTCATCTGGATAAATCCTCTCCTTCAAGCCACTGCGAGGACTCTGGGAAAGAAGGAAGTTCGGCTCTGGTAAGTACCAGCAAACCCAGGAAAGGGAGAACTGCACACCAAGTGTTGCAGCCACAACAGCCAAAGCTTCTCCTTTCTCACACAGTGAACTGCTCGACAGCTGAGGCGTGGAAAAAACCAGACCAAGACGCGTGTCCTACGTGCACAGTTCACAAAAACCCCCCAGAAACACAACTCAGTGCAGAAGCAGTTTTGGGAAGAAAGCTGGTGACACTGAGCAACAGCAGAGCTGTAAAATCTACCACCTGTCCTTGGCTTTTCATTGCTCTCTCCTCCTCTATTGACAGTTCATCTTTAGCTCTCTCCTCTCCACCTCCTCCTCCTCAGGTGGCCCAGCACGCCCTTGGCTTTATTTACAAAAACCACGTGCTGTTGGCTCATCTTCAGTGTGTCCAAAGGTGTTTTTTCAGCCAGGCTGTTGCTTTCCAGCCTGTCTTTTCCCATGAAGTTATTCCACCCCAGCTGCACTCCTCTGGAGTTCTCGTTCAACTTCCTAAGGTTTCTGTTGCCCCCTGATCCTTTCTCAGAGCCACTCCGGACTGAAAAGCCTCTATGTCTGGTGTGCCAATCACCTCCAGTGATCTAACACATCCACAATATTGATAGGATTGAGTTTATTAGGAAGATAACTAAATTTTTCTGCATTTATTATACAGAAACATGGGTGATATCCAGTCAGATTTGGAGCTGGAGGAGGAATGTTTCACATTAGAGTCATGTCTGTTCTCATCTGACCCACCTTGCTCTCACTTCCAACTGCTGGGACAAATTTAGCTCCAAATCCAAGCAGAGAGTCTCAATTCCCCTGCACTAATCAGATAGTGCCTTAATTAAGGATTAGGCACTAGGGCTGTGCAGCAGGGAGAGCACACGAGCACAGATTGATAACTAATGAGTGAACACACTAAGAGCCTTTACTGCTGGCAATAACTGAAGCTTATTTGGTAGAAGGAGGGCTCTTCCCCACTTCCCTGGCAACTTGCCCACTGACTGGATCCGAGTCACAGTTCTGCAGCTGGAACATTCTCTGAGAAGATGCTCCAGTTGGCATCTGAGTCATGAGAAGGAAGCTGGAATCTATCTTTCTTTGTCTGGCTACAGGGAAATCTAATCCTGGATAAAAACCCAAACCCACACCACTTCTTTCCCAGTTCACACAAGTCCAGTGTTTCATGTTTCCTCAGGGAAAGGAGTTTTGGTGGGTGCTGAGGAGCCCATTCCAGCACAGTGTCCCACGTGTGACACCCAGGACAACACAGAGAACCTGCACAGGAAAACCAAAGCCAAAGGGCAGAGAGGAAAGAGCTGGAGCTGTTGCAGACTCACATCAGCAATGTCACTGTTGGGTCTGGAGGGGCTGTCCCCACTGTAATCCAGTTTGCTCCCACAGTCCCCACTCTCTGCCTCCCCCTCGCCGATCTGCAGCGACTCTGACACAGACCTGGAGGGCAAAACTCCATCCTGAAAAGATAAAGTGAGTTGGGACACAGCACAGAGCAAGCAGAATATCTCAAGGGATGATCCTTAAAAATCAGCTCTTTCAAAAGCCAGTTAGTTCACATTACTTATAAAACTTCCTTATTTTATCTAACAAAAGGTTGCAATGCTTTTCTAAGAGAAAACAACAGAAAAACCCCACCAAGTTTTCAGGACTTATAATATCACAGGCAGAGGGAAAAGAGGGAAAATAACACAACCTATATTTATTATTTTTTTTTCAGAAGTGAAAGTAAAGTTGTTTTAAGCTTCTAGTTCTTAATTCCCCATTGAAACAATGACTTTTTTGAATAGGTTTTTTGAAGTTGCGCTGACAGACTAATCAACACATGACAGCTCACATTTACTGTTTTAAAAGCAGTTTTTCACAGATGATTTGAAAGCCCACTGTATAAGCCTCCTCCACATCCTGACTGACATTGCACTGCACTGTTTGACAGGCTCTGCAAGCTCAACTCCAAGTCTCAGCTCTAGAGGGTGCAACCTGCCTGTCCAAGCACGGCAGAGCCTGGCAGGGAACTCGCCCACATCATCATCATCATCATCCCCCAAGAATTCCTGCCTGGAGCATCCCACAGAGAGGCCTGACACGCTGTGTTACCTGAGTGCAGCCCGTGGCTTTGGAGAGCTGCTCCTGCAGCTGAGGAATGTGCTTCTTGGCTTCCTGGATCTCCTTGAGCAGGCGGGGGGTGGGGGACCGGCCGTACTCCTCTTGGAGAGACTGCGAAATGATTTGAGCTTCCACTCAGCATCTCTTGGAACCACTACCTACCTGCTGCTCATTTCATTCCATTTACACATTTCAGTAATAAACAGCTGCTACAGAAGGTCTGTTTTCTATAGCTCTGTGAGCAGTGATTCAACAACCTCGCCTCTGGCTTTCCCCCACCCCTCTCCACCTCACACAACCCCAGTACCTGCAGCCTCTCCTGCTCCTTCTGTAGCATCTTCCTCAGAATCTCCACCTTCTGGTTGTGGACAATATTATTCTCCTCCTAAAAAAACACAGAGAAATTAAGGGTTGGGTTTTTTTTTTTGGTGGAGCTGGGAAGATCAGGAGAATGGACGTGCTCATTTTTCATCTGCTTCCTAAACACTGGCTCTAAACAAAAAGCAATTCAAGTTTGCAAAACACAATCCTATGTGTTCTTTCCTAATTCTGAACACAGTTTAAAAAACCCTCAGATGGGACTGGATATTTTCACTTGCAAAATGTTTTTCACCACATGGATAAATATCCACTGACAGGATAAATATTCCAGTTTGTGATTTGTGCAAGAAGCACTAAATAATCCAGGTTAAAAAAAAGAAAAAATAAAATACCAGACTGCATTTCTACAGTTTTTTGGAAAGAGAGCTTTAAATCTTACCCCCATAAGCACTGGGCTGGTGATCCTTTCTGCATTTCCTGATGTGCCAGGTGAGTGGGGAGATGTCATGATGGGAGACATATGCCCAAATCCTGCCAGATCCACTTCAGAATCAGCCAAGGGAATCTGGGGCGACCCTGGTGGGCGCCCCTGGACAGTGAGAGCTACATAGGAACCCGCTGCAGGGAGACAGGGACAGGTCACACGTCAGACATTTGGAGATTTCTGTGATGCTGTTCCCATGATTCACCCCGGAGACAAAACTCAGGCCATTCTTCACCCACTCCTCCTTCAAACCTGCGAGCAGGGTCAGCTCTGGTTTACAAACACCTAATTTAAATCCAAAAACTTCCACGATACGAAAGCCAGCAATCCAAATTTCTAGTCCAGCAGGTTGTATTTACAGTACACCCAGGTTCATGCCACAGAATAAACTCTGCTAGGGTGGAAGGAACCACTACCACCTTCTTCCTTGTGCGAGATAATCAACCAAGAACACACTTCCTTTAGCACTGCCAGAGCTCTGCAAGCATCACCCAGCAATGTATTTAAAGGTGCCTGAATAGCTCTGGTATTTAAGGTGGGAAAGCACCTGGGCAAGGCTTGACAGCAAATTCAAACATCAGGCTAAGGAGAAGCTACAGGAGAATGTATCAGCTTAAGTTCAAGGTGTCAGAATTACCCCAATTTCACTTCCCTGTTTCACACCCGCCCTTTCTCTCTCAGCACTGGGCATGGTTAGACCTCACCCTTGTCACCTGAAGGCTCAATCAGCCTTTCAGATGATGCCTGTCATGCTTTTGAGGAGCCCAGGGACAGAAATAGCCTTTACTTACACTTGATCAGCTTTACCACCTCCAAGTGGTTCGAGTGTGTTACGAGGGTGCCGTTCACCTGGGGCAGGGAGGGGGAGAAAATTAAGTGTTCAGCAACTGATTCCCAACCAAAAGCATCCACAAATCACACAAAAAGCACTACAACATTTTCTTTCCCCGCTCCCATCTCCATTACTACATCTTTCAAGGCACTAATCAGACAAACAATTTATCCTTCTAAGAGTTCATCTCAGTGAGCAGAGCTCTGCAAAAAGAAAACTATATACACATCAAAAAAAAACCCAAACAACTCTAAGCAGTCAAACAAACATAAAAAAGCAGCCCACTTCTGACTGGGCAGAAAAACAACAAGGTAGCTGATTTAATTCATTAATTTAAATGCCTGGTTGAAGTCCCAGCTCTATTTGTGTAGTACAAGCAATCACTTTGCACTAATAGTTTACACGGTCTATTTAGTTACTGACTTGATTTCTCAGTTGCTTGGCACTAAAAGAAACCATGGATCTGGAGACACTCAGGAGCAAAGCAATAATTCAGGCAGACTTTATCTACAGGTGATTATTAGTAACTCTCCATTCCTTCTCTCCCCTGTCATTTCTGTTTCTGTTGTACTTGTGATACTTGAACCTTGTAGGATGCTGAGCTGACCCATAAAGCTCTGAAATGAGTGATGTCCACACCAAAACTAACACTGAGCAGTGAGATTTCAGTGGTTACTGCTCTGGTATGCCCAGAACACGGAAACAGCCCATTCCTCAATCTCCCAGGCAAATGAAAACATCCCAGCAGATGTAGCAATGGCATTTTTTCAGGGACAGAGCTCGTTTAATACAAAGGATCCCCTTCCCCCACAATCTGAATGCCCTTACCTTGATAATTCTATCCCCTGTTTGCACTCCAGCCCGCATGGCTGCTCCATCTGCAGGGAGAAGAAACCCTTCAGTCCCCATATCAATACAAACACTCAAAGCAAAAACGGTTTAAACACTTTCATAGTTTGATGCAAAACTATTTCCTGCACTCTGCCAAGCTTCCTCTGTCCCTAGCAGGTTAAAATCTCTGGGCTTCTTGTCTAGAGCAGCTCTGTTCTCACTTGGCAGTGCATACCCCAAAGCCACAATCCCACCACGTTCCAAGGAGTCATTTCCTTCCCCTTGGACACACGAGGTCAGTTTTCAACCCGTCAGACACGGAGGAGGCGAATTCACCGCATCCCACGGCACAGCCGCCCCACCCACGAGGATTTTCGGAGTCTTCCCCTCCACATTTCTCTGATCCACATGGAGAGCCTCAGGCTGCTCCCTGGCTGGCAACATCTGGCACCCTCCTTGCCCACCTTCCTTGACGGACTGCACGAAGACCGGGTTGTCTCCGCTGACTGTCAGCCCGAATCCGTTCTCATCCCGCTGGATCACCACACACCGCTGAACCAGACCTGCACGAGAAAGGTGGGGAAAGGGCAGGGGAAAGAGAAGGAGAGAAATACAAAGAGACACAAGCTGGGCATCAGTCCAAAACCTTATCCTCCTAGATAATCACACAGTACTGAGAGGAACTGGTACAGTACAACAGAGGGAAAATATACGAGAGACAGAAACAGGGCAGCAGTCCAGGAATAGAGAGGGATGTCAAGACAGGTCAAGCTTATTGCTTCAGCTACACAAAACAGAGAGATACAGCAGCAGAGATGCAGATAGCTCTGGCACATCACACCCAACTCGAGGTAAAAGCAGCTTTTAAAGAAGAGCAGCAGTACACAAACCAATGAGCATCATTTCCCTTTGTCTGTGTTAATAGTTTTTCAGAGTACACCAGAGGGCTGTCATGTTCCACTTCATCAAAAACAACACACAGCTTCTACAAGAAGTCACAAATCTCTCAGAGTAACACGAGGGGGTTGGACTAAAACAGATTTAGTGATCAGGAAAAGTTCTCCCTATTCTCAGCACAAATCTCCTCCTGGGGCACCCTCTGTTCCAGGTGAGAATATCACACAGAGCCAGACCAGCAGCAGGGAACAAGTACAAGCCACACTTAACTACCCTGAACAGGACTTCTGAAATAAAGCCCTGCTTCAGGCTACTGAAGTTCAGGGCCAAAATCCCAGGAGATGTTGAGTTTGAATCTGCTCCTCCTTTAACTTGCTGTGAGACATCAAAGGCAACTTGTTTTTTTCCTGGTATACTCAGTATAATGTGAGCATAAATGTTGCTGCTGAGATAAATTTACTTAGTAGGTGCAGCATTTTGATGAGGTGAAATACTGGTTATATCTTTTGCTCACCTGAAAATGAAATAAGGCAAAAATAAAACAAAAGCAAGCAGCAGTCTTGGCATATTCATTGCTGAGCACTCTCCTAGGAACATCTGCAAAAAGCCTCCCACAACGGAGCCATTATCCTGAAAAGTGACTTTAGGAACTTTGCAAAATGCTTCCCCAATGTCCTTTTATTTATATCACCCTTACTTCTAACAGCTTGCTTTGCTGCTTCTTTTCTACAGCCACATCAGGCAAAATCCCTACACCAGCACCTTGAGGAGGAATTGGGAGTTCTCCACAATCAGATACCAAAATTGTGGCAGTTCTGTTTGGTATGGAGGGAGCACAGGGAGCTGTCCCAGACAGACTGGCTTTTCTGGAATACTTTTTAAAGAATGAATTGTAGCAGAGCGTGGAGTCATACCCACGGCTTAAATTACTCTCACACCACTACAGCTCCTTTCACTTCTCTGGAGCAACTCCTGATGGAAATGAGGAGCCTCAACTGAAAGCACAGCCTGCCCAGCCAGTCCTGTTCTCCTCCAGCGTGGCATACATGAAAATGGGTGTGGGAGCAGTGGAAAAGGCTGTATTCCAGGACTTTTGCAGCAGCCTGGTCCCAGTGTCACATCCCAGTAACTCACAACACACACAGGAGGGATGGGATGGATGCAAGGTGAGAGCAGACAAGAGAAGCAAACCCCCTGCCTCTCCCAGCCTCTCTACATGGTTAAGTGAAAGAACAAGACTCTCCCTTCTGCACCTCCCATTTTCCTGTGTGACCAAGCTTCTTGAAGTCTCACTTCACAAGAATGATGCCCCGGGGTGGGGTGTGGGAACATGTGCTATTTCATAAAAACAGCTCCTTTCCAACCCTGTGCCAGCCCTACAGGTTTTATGAGCAAGGCACCAAAGTAATCTTTTGACTCACAAGAACTGTCCTTCTTTAAAGACACAGGGATAGCCCTGAGCACTCACTGCTCTTCCACTGGATTGCTTTTTTTCCCAGAACTAATAACCCTTAGAACTATTGACAACCTTCCCCCTGGAATGAGCCTTATGCCAAAGCAGAAATGCAGTAGGTGATGATGCAACATAAACTGGCCTTACAGAGTTTAGAGTTCCCAACTGTGTAAACCATGAGTCTCAGTGTCACCCAAAAACCCCACTTTTACATTTAGAATGGAGGAATAATTGATATTAGGACAACTTGAACCCAAATTAGTCCATAATAGCTTTTTTTCCCTGTATTTGCTCCCTTCAGACAAGGAACAGGCACTGAACCCTTCTCCTCACACAACAAATGCTGGAGTGAGGTGCAGGCAGGCCAGCTGAGAGATTCAATGCTTGATTGGGATACACAGCATTTTCCTAGTGATTTTAATGAAGTTAACTGAAGATAACATTATTACCTGCACAACTAGACCTGACAGCACTCCCTGTGTGAACCAGGCACGCTAAAAAAAACAGAGCAACCCTGAAGTGCTCTCTTGAACCCCCTAAATCTGCCATTTGCTCCCTTCTGGTCCTTTAAGTAAAACACCTTCAGTTTTGAAAGGTGCTGCGTGGTGGAATTTTGAGAGCAGAGCAGCAATGTTTTCATAACCCACGTCTGGTACCTTGAACACCTCATCAGACACTCAGGAATGGACTCACAGGAAAGCCACAAACCACTGGGAGCCCAAGGACACCAATGTGAAGTTTCCAAGAGCTGTTCCTGTCACGCCTGGGTATCACAGGAACACACAGGGACATTAAACTACCAACTAAACCAGGTGACAATCAGCTTTTCATTCCCCTTTTTCCCTTTTGTGTTCCCTGGATGGAAATCCTGAGCCATTCATTGTGAAATATTTCACTCTTTCCAGCTGAAACTTAGTGAATATTACAAGGTCAGCAGAACCAACCACTGACAGTGCTGAAAATCAAATCACTAATAATGTTATTCCCACGTTTGCTTTCATTTGACAGTATCCTGATGGCACAAAGTGAGGAGACATCACTTTAACCAAGCTTTAAGCACACAAAATCAGATTATGTGTTTGTGCCTCGAGTGGATTCATAAAATTCTGCGGAGAAAACAATAAATCTTGATCTTTTTTTTGTCCTCATGCAGATGGCAATTCCCCAAACTCACTGGTGTAGCCTCAAGCCAAGAGCACAGCAGAGCAGCCAACCGTGTGCTGGAGCTGAAGAGGTTTGAGATTAAAAATGAAAGCAGACAGAAAGATTGCAAGTAAAGCAAAGAGGATCCACTCTTCAATAGGTGGCACTAGTCCCTCTCCATTCTCCAGCCCTGATCCAAGTGCCTTTGGATAGTAGGGGAAGGGTAAAGTCAAACTTCTCAAGGTCATTGACACCCCATGGCTAAAATTAATGTCTCAGCCAGTCGTGCCAGACACATTTCCATTCTCCCAAGAGCTCCTCGAGTAAGAAGGTCATTTACTTCATCTTCTCTTCTACTATTTGGAAGTTATTCAACAAAACAGGGAGTTTCATCAGCGGTTCCCAACAAAGAGAGCAGAGTTTCATTCTGAAAACTTGACTCACCAGAGAGAATGGAGAGCCCAGGTTGGACGGGGCTTGGAGCAACCTTGGCTAGTGGAAGGTGTCCCTGCCTGTGGCAGGGGGTGGAATGGGATGATTTTTAAGGTCCCTTCCAACCCAAACCATGACTCCACGAGGCACAAATCCCACCTCCCATAACACACCACGGCTTTTCCTCCGCTCCAGCTCTGCAGGGCGTGATGGGAGCTGAGATTTGTGAACCTCCCCTGGGGCCACGGGAGGCCACAATAGGAAAAGGCAGTTTAGTGGAGCGATTTGAAATGAATCATTCCATAAACAAACAAACAAACAAAAAAACACCCCAAAACAAACTCCTTGGGGATTTGCGAATGTCCAAATGTTTCACTTCATTTGGGAGGTCTTCTTTCTATGAAGTGTTTTCAGAAATGCTGCTCCACGGAATAAATAGAACCATCAGCTTTCAGAGGGACAGATTCTCGGCAGAGGAAATCCTGAATTTCAGTTCTAGTTCTTACCATGATTTCATACCAAATGCCATATAAGCAGCATTCCTCAGATTCCTCCACTAACAGAAGTCATGCAAAGTCAGTGCAAAAACTATACTGTTTGAACAGTGCAGTCCACAGAGCCCTGATAAAATTGTTATTAACAATGGCACTGAATACTGCCCATAAAACAAGGGTTGGTAACCTTTTTAGGGAAAAAAAAAAAAAAAAAAGAACCATGTATTTTAACATGATAAATAGGACTATCTGCTCCCATGGCAACACCACATTCAACCCCTGTGGTCCAGCCCTCCCTGCATTCCCAGCCCTTCCTGGCTATTCTAAGAGTAGTGATGAGGGGCTCCCAAAAGTCCTTTAAAAAGTCTGGAAAAATAGTGACCAGTAACACAGAGCTGATAAGAACTGCCAGGAACAAACCAGGAAGAGTAACTTCAATTCAAAAACAGCTCAAGTATTAAGTATCGTGGGAGATCATGGCACTAATTAGTAAATTACAGCATATCTGAACCTACACTCAGTCTCTCTGCTGATCATCTAAATTTTGTTGAATATACAGATATAATTGCACTTATGAAAGAAAATATCCCACTCTGAGCTCATGTCACTGTAAATTAACTTTGGTATATTAGACCCATTTCCCTGCCTAACCACTCTGCCTCCCTAGAGCCACTCATATACTTGAAGAAATTCTGCTCTCTTGCTCCTTAATTAAAAATTTCAAGAGGTGAGAACAAACAAACACACAAACACACAAAGCCACACCTCCTTTTCCTGTTGTCATTCCAGAATTCTCTATTATCCCCTTTCCACTGGCCAGTTACCAGTGAGAAAAATATCAGCCCAGCGTTTCTACTTGTAGGTTTTGGAATAGCTTGGGCCCATCCAAAGCAAACAGCAGAGTTCTCCACACACACCACAGGGCAGGGAAAAGCAGAGAGGGCAGAGACAAAAGGCAGGGCCAGGTCCAGCCCAGCAAAGGCCACTGGAAAGGAAGGATGAGCGGAAACTGCTCCCAGAGATCCCGGCCACGGGCAGAGCATCTGCAGGAAGTCAAAGCTTACGTCAGGAAGTCGTGTTCCTTTCTGCCACACATGAAAACCCAGGACGCTGCACAGGCTGAGGGAGCAGAGTAAACAGGCAGCCATTCCATCAAACACACCAAATGTTTCCTGGAATTAACCCCCAGCAGCTCGGCAGCACCTCTGGCGTGTTGTGGGTGATCAGCTCCGGGGAAAAAGGAACTCGGGACAGGGATCTGGGCAACCCCAGTAACCAGCATCCACCTGCCAGGGGACAACTCCTCCCCACAGGGAGCATCATCCCCAAATCCCTGCTGTCCAGGCAGGTCATTTCCCTGCTCATTCCCTCAATTTCCCTGCTCACTGCCTCTGAGCACGGCAGGAAGAATCACAAGCTGCAGCAAGCCAAGCCTCCCTGAGACAGTTTTCCAGCTTTGCTTTAGCAAATTAAGGTCCTCTCCAAACCTGTTTACTGAGGAACACTCTCACACCCCGAGGAACAGGACTTATCATATTACTTTTCCTTAAAGGAAAAAAACAAACAAAAGTGTGTGATTCAAAATTCCAGGGGATGCAGGGAGATCTCATTTTCACAGGACACACCTCCCTAAACTGCACCAGCGAAAGGGCTTTTCCTAAGATTGGTCTGGAAGGAAATCTTCAGGGTTGGTGGTTTTTGGGGTTTGGAGGTTATTTTGCTTTTATTTTTTTATTGGGGTTTTTGTGGGTTAGAGGTTTTTTGGGGTTTTCTTTTGCATTTATATTTTATTGGCGTTTTTTGGGTTCAGGCTTTTTTCTTCACTATTATTTGTCAGTGTTCCTCACAACCAGAGCCGTGACAGTATCACTTTGTATTACTTTGGTGGTTTAAGGAGCTGGATCCCAGCCATGAACACCTGGCAGTTTTATTCCAGTGGAATGATAAAAGCTGATACTTGGAAGAGTCGTTGCAAGTGCCCAAAAGCCCACAGCAGGTTATGCAGCAGCAACTTTCTTAACAGATTAAAATCAGAAAAGTGTCACAGAGTGTTTTAAACATGAAGGGGGGAGGGGAGGGGAAGGGAAGGGAAAGAAAGGCAACCCATGGCTGGAGTCAGGACATGCACACTTAGAAACATGAGATGCAGCAGATTCAGTCCAGGTCCAAGGGTCTTTGCAAGCTGCAGGATCCAAAAACCCATCAACTTGTGAGAACTTCTTGCCTTCTACCTTCTAACACGAGTGCAAACATCTTTAGAGGCTGGAAATTGGACAAGTCATTAAACACAGCCAGGGTGGGGAGTGTCCCAGACTGAGAGATGTGGGGAAAGGAGCAAACAGGCCCATCATGGTGTAGTGACAACATCACGATGTGTGGGGACACTGCCATCCCAAACTCTTTCGTTACATGCCATTTATTCCAGTGCACAAGCCCCCACACAGCAGTGATACACAACACAGGACTGCAAGGTCACTCCCTCCCTCTGCCACAAAGAATGGGGAAGTTCCTCTCCTTACATTTATTTTATTTATTTACAGATACTCTGTGAAACATGAGAAGGCACTGAGAGGAGATAACCTACAAATAATGCAAAAAAGATGCTCTGACCTCCACAGCCAGAGCAAGACAAAGGCTTTTCTACAACCACAAGACCCTTCTGGGGTCCAAGAGTGCCCAAACCCCCCTAACTGTGGCACAAAGTCTCCGGGTGGGTAACAGGAGGATAACCCAGGTGACAACTTGCCAGGTTAGTTTTCCAGCCACTACAAAAAAAAACTAGAAGCTGATACACTAAAGCAACACTTTTAAGCCCAGATTGCCCAGTTCCCTGCTGCAGAGCCGACCATGCAGATCATGGGAAGGGGTGGGAAAGCCTGGGATGCACAGACAGGAAAAGCATGGAGCTGCCCAGGGGTGAGGCTGCTTGAGCTTACCATATGTCTCGGATCTACTCTCCTCAGAACTAGACTTTGTCTTCTTGGAGGAGCTTTCTGCACGAGAGCAGGAGAGAAGGAGAGAGAGATATAGAAAATATGGAGACCAAACATGAGAAAAAAAAAAAAAATCCATGAAAAAAAAAAAACAAACCAACAACACAGACTGATTTACTGGGTTAAATCGTGCAAAACACACACAAATAAGATGGGAACAAAACACAGGTGGAACACTTGGAATAAGGGGTGAATAATGAAGACACAGGTAACACCACATAGAATCTTGTTACAGAATTTAGGACACAATTAAAAGATGCTTTCTGCAATAACTACAGGAAGGATTCTGGATTAAAAAATAGTCCAAGCACAGAAACTCTGGTATTTTTTAGCTCCAAAATAAATAATCAACACAGGCACAGCAGTTCAGCATCCTCAATTCACCCCTTAAAAAGAAAATCCTTCTATGAAGGCTGCAGTGCAGGTTCATCAGTGCAGCAGACCAGAGCACAAGCACCATAACAGTGGAGCCAGGTAACAGCTCTCAAAATTGGAGTGACTTTCATCAAATTAAGATTAGAGGGTTCCTGAAGTTTGTTTCTGAAGAAAATAAATTCCTTCTCCTTCAGAGCCCAAGACCTCTCCCAACCTGAAATAATTTTACATTACTCACTTCCAAGGAAAAAGGAAGTGAAGACAAAGCATTAATTTTCTCCCTTCCAGGAATTTTTTAACTGGCATTTAAAGGCCATTTTCATTTATTTTGTGCACACTGGGAAGGAGTCATGCAGCCAGTGACAGAAACCATTAACAGGCTGGTTTATAAACATCAGCTTCCAAATGTCTTGTGCAAAAAAAAAACCAACATCCTACAAGTTGTACCATTCAAGCCTCCTGCCTTCCTTCCACCAGCCCCAGGGACAGCACAATGCACAGACATGAAAAATGCACATTGCAAGGGGCCAGGAGGCTCAGACAAGAGCCTGTCATGCATTTAATGAACACACACAGAGTCACTGGGTTAGGGTTTCAGGGAGAGGGCAGAATCCCTCATTTCCCAGACAGTTCTGGACAAGCTGCCCAAATTGACCCTAATTTAGCCTTTGGGAAGGTTTAAAAAAAAAAAAAAAAATAGGAGAGCACATCCTTTCAAAAGAGATGCTGATCTTAAAATGTATCAGGTTGGAAAATACAAATTCGCTTTGCAAGTGACACAGAGGGATCCAAATCCACTAAGGCCCGAAATAACTAAACCAAACCCCCAAAACTCAAACCCAAACAAGGGAACCCCAGCCCTAGCTGAGCCTGCAACATCCCCAGCGTCACACTTAACTAAATCCCAACTAATTACAGTATTTGCCTCCTGAAATTTCAGGCTGACTTTCCCGAAAGTGCAAATTCCAACTGTTTACTGAGCAGCTCTGATTATTTACTGACACACTAATCCAGGTTTACTGTCAGGTGTGCGTGTGTCCAAAAGCAATGCCCCGCACGCCTCCAAAAAGCACAACACGACCCTGAAAAACCGCATTTTTCTTGCGCATTAAAATCAGTTTTTACACCTAAAATCGTTTTTAAACCCGAACCAGTTTTTAAACCTAAAACAGCCTTTAAACCTGATTCCCACAGCGCTTTTCAGAAGGAAATTTGGGGTGTTTCACCTCTGGGTTTTTAGGGCTGTTACCTGTGGGATCGAAGTCGTGGGTGCTGCTGCAGCGCTCAACCTTCTGCTTCTTGTCAGCTGGAGACTCTCTGCTCAAAATGCTGCCGTGTCTGTGTCAGGGAAAAAAATTACAAAAATAAAAAAAATAAAGGCACAAATCCTCACCACCAGAGCACAGAGGAGCTGCTGGGGCTCCCAGAAATAACCTGAGCTTGGGGTTGGCTGCCCATGAGAAATCGAGATTCAAACACAGGCATTAAATTCGCTTAAAAAATTCATTCCCGGGCTGGATTCAAGTGGGAAAATGATCTCCCTCGGAGGCTTTGGGAGTGTATCCAAGGTTCTGGAAAGAGCCTTGCTAACCTTCAGAATTAGTAACAGCGAGTGCGTTCTCTTTTATCACTCAATTTTAAAAGCAAAATAAAATTAGGCTACATAAACCAGATTAAACCTCCTGCAATCTTAACTCTGCCTCCTCCCCAGCAAATGTTCCATATCTTTGCAGGCAAAAATTAAAGATTTAGACTATTCCTCCCCCCCCCCAGTACATCATGTACCCACTCAAGTGTCCCTTTACCATCTCAAGTCTCAGGTAAGATGAGCCTGCAGTGATGTAACAGGAGGCAAAGTAACACTATGCCATGCACTTTAAGTTCACCACCAACTATATTTTTGGCACCTCGTCCCCATCTGGACATTTCATTTCCTCACATCTGCAATGGGTGCTGTGGGTCTGTGTCAGTACACGTATTTATTTTTCCTTTTAAAAGCCTCCCCCGCTCAAAAATGCTGCAGCATAATTCGCAGTGAAGGCAGAAAAGTCAAATTTCAGGAACTCACCTCGTAGGTTTTTTGAGAGGAAACCTGAAAAGAAGAAAAGAGCAGAAGTTTAATGGACTTTTGTTTCTCAGTATCATCCTTCATACCAACACTAATGCTTAAATACAAAGTTATTTTACACTTGTGTGATACCACCACAAGAAAACCAATCCTTGTTTCTTTTTTCTTCAGCCAACTATTAGTCCATTTAGAGCTGATTCAGTTAAGTAAAGACTTTCAAACAGAATTAAGAACAGTCTGCTCTCAAATCCAGCACCCAGCAGCTCTTTCTTCCTCAGAACACCGTGGTGGCTCATGGATCATCTTCCTCTCATAACAATTAATTCCCTACACTAAAAATTAACATTCCTTCTTTTTTTTGCCCTATTTAAGGTCCAAACTAACTGAAAACTCTCCTTCCCAGTAACACAGCTCATGTTGAAATCTAACATCTCTTTTTCCATGAAACTCAGTGAACTTGCCATCTTTGAGACAAGTGCAACAGAGTAAAATTAACCTGAAATTGTATTAACTATTCCAAAAGTTATTACATATACAGATAACAAAAGCAACAAACCCACAGTTAAAGGAGCAACAAGGTGTATATGTATTTTTAAGTAAGGGAAATATGTGGGACTTTGTGAAATTAGGGGTTTTTTTCCCTTGAATTACTGCAGAAAAGTGACAGAGCAGGGTGTTTGCCATCCAGCTTGAGGCACCAACGTCTGATTTCATGAAGCAGAATTATTTCTTTTTCAGAACCTTTTTATGAGTATAACTCCATTCCTACTTGTTTAATGTTTTTAGGTCTTTCAGCTACAAAGCAATACATACATTTAGAGCAGTGTGTGAATATATAGAAAACCAATACATCACTTTTTGTTCTAAATGAAGATCTACAAATGTTTTATAGCTAATAATTTCCATATATATATATATATATATATATATAACAGTTATTCTTAGTGCATTCTCCTATTTATACAGGTTTTCCAAGTGCTGGGGTGAGGGTTAGAGGGAGGAGATTCAGGGCAATACAATTCTAATGCCACAAAAGTTATTGGGGCAATAAATGACAATTTTTTTTCTTCTTTTTTTTTTTTTTGAGTTTAGCTTAATTTAAACAGACCAAATTGGTAAAGACCAACAGTCCCATGGTAAGTCTGTATTAAAAAAGACAATGTGAGGGTGGGACAGTCCCAAGGACAGCAGCTCCAAACTCAGACTGAGCTGAAAGGTTGGGCTCTGCTCCCAGGGAACAAGGGACAGGAGGAGAAGGAGCAGCCCCAAGCTGTGCCAGGGAAGGGTCAGGTTGGACATCAGCAGGAATTTCCTCATGGAAAGGGTGGTCAGGCCTTGGAGAAGGGGCTGCCCAGGGAGGTTTGCAGTCCCCGTCCCTGGAGGTGTCCAAGGAAGGACTGGTTGAGGCACTCAGTGCTCTGGGCTGGGGGACAAGGTGGGGAATCAGGCACAGCTTGGACTGGATCATCTCTGAGCTCCTTCCCAAGCTAAATTCTAATTTCCAACCTAGATTCTGTGATTCTGAGCTGGGCAATGGCCCTGTCTAACACACAGAACCAATCCCTCCTCCAAGGGCTCTCCAGAGCACCACAACCAAGATTCCTTGAGCATCACCACAAGACTGCAAGGGGCACCTTGTCACCTCCCCATCTACCCTCCTTTCCTCGACAACTACACCCAGCCAGTAACAGCACAGCCTTAAAGCTACAACAACTCCCTCCCCATTACCTGGAAAACATAACTGGCTGCACAGAAGTGCTCAGCTTAATCCCTCTCTTGGAATAATAGCTGTGCCATTAAAGCGTGGATCCACCCAAAACTCTGGCCAGCTCCCACATGCCAATCCCCTGTGCAAACATGCACTAATATGGCAACTCTGAAACGAGCAGCTGATGACACATTAGGCAAGTGAAATTAAAATGTTGTCTGTCTATTCCTGAAAATAATTACACACAGAAAGCCACTCGCCATCTTTTAGATAACAGCATCAAAAATTGGTGCAACTGCAAGAGCAGCTTCCAAATTAAGGGGGTAGGTGGGGCCTGTGATTGCATAACCTATGGGCAAAGCAGCAATTTTAGGAGTTAATTAATTGAAGAGAAGAAGTGACAGTGCTCTTTCCTCCTGCCCCTCAAAAGCTCTGTTTTAAACTTAGAAAGTCTGGGAAAGCCACTCTGATTCAAATCAAGCCTCTCCTTATTCTGCTCTACCTGCAAAGCCAGATCTCTTTAGCACCCAGGCCTCCATTTACAAATTTTGGCCAGTAAAGAACAGTTTTGTGCAAGACAGACAGCTTGGATCCCATAGAAAGAAACCAAAAGTCACCTCAGGCCAATCCAGCTCTGCCTGCACAGTCAACAGATACAGCAGCAGTCAAGTCTTTCATTGAAAAGCAGAAAAGATAAAAAAAAATAAGGAGTCCAGGGAAAGGCAGGAAAAGATGCTCAAGATGAATTACATCTCACACATTTTTTAATCTAATGCATCTGAACTTTGGAGCTGCATTAAAAAAAAAAAAATCCCAACACTACTACCCAAGTATTTTAATGAAGCATTTAAGTGACAACCCTTATCCCAGTGTTTCTTATCAGCACCCAGAGCTGCAGGCTCTGCTCCTGCAGCAACACACGGTTTATGGGCGGCAGAAAGAGAGTTCACTGTCGTTCTGGTTGATTCACAGCTATTCGTTATCTGCTCAAGGATGAAGCACAAATATTCTATTTCAGAGGTCTAGAAGCTGGGTAAAACTTTCCTTTCAGGCCAGTGACGTTAATTATTTAGGAAGGGACCCTGAAGTTGCTGTACATAAACCGGCACTGAAACGGTTGGAATTTTTCCCGGGCTTTGACGTTACCGGTGAACCTGAAGTTCCTGCGGAGTGGCAGCCAAAAAACCCTCCTGTTCCTAGCCCAGAGCTCACAGCTGGGCAGTCCAAGAGGTCAGGAGCCAGCTGGCTCTGGAGGATCCCAGTGTCCTGGGAAGAGCCCCCAGCCCAGGCCCTGGGGCCGTGTCCCCCCATCCCACGCGGCTGCCGAGCGCGCCGGGAGCAGCTCCGGGAAGCTCTGGAGCCCCTTGGCTGCCCGCCAGCTTCCTGCCTTTCTTTCTCCTCCAGAGCAGGGAGGGAGGCAGGGACATGGTGGGGAAGCAGGGCAAGGCAGCAGGTCACCCCAGGCAGTGCAGGCTGGGAGAGCTCCAGGCTCTGCCCTGCACTTGCTTTGGCCTCACAGGTATCCCCTAAAACCAGCGGGGCAGGAAGGGGATGGGTTTTGTCCAGCCAGGCTGAAGATGAAGCTCCCCAGTCCCCCCCAGGAAAAACTCCTCTCCCAGACCTGAAATCATTCCTGGGCACTGAGTTATGAAATCACAGAAACTGGAGGTGGAAGAGTCAGCTGATTTAAGGTCCTTGCCGGGCACACTCGGTGCAACGTTCCTCCTCTTTTCCCCCCTTCCTGCCTGGAATACCACCTGGAATTCCTCGATTTGCTGAAGACACCCCTCATTTCCATTCCTCATTTCCCAAACACCGTGTCACCACAGCCAAGAGCGGGGTGGGTAAAACACAATCAAGGAACACAGAGCAGCTCCCACGAGTCCACCCAGCAACCCTCTGCCTTTCAGCACCACTTATCTTCACTTGCAAATATGATTAGGCTTGAAAGCAACCCCGAAAATCCCCTCACTGTGTTAAGAGCGTTCAGCAGCACATATTACATATTTAATGCATTTCACCTCCTACTGTAAACAGCAAGGCAGAGCAGGGTGGGGTTAACAGCTGGAGACTTAATTCCAAACGGAGCTGGCAAGTTTAGGCTCCATCCACGATAAAAAAAAACCCTGTAGACATTTTGCCTGATAACTGATGAACATCAGCACATTTTCAAACAAGTTGTTCCACTCTCCCAACTACCAGCAACAATTAAAAGCCAAGTCACTTTTTTGGGGGTTTTTTTTTGTTGTGTTTTTTTTTTTAAAGACTGGGTCAAATAATTTAAACCATTCAAGCACAGCAAATTACTAAAAGTACGTCTTCTTAGTCATGGTGCATTAGGAAAATCTATTTACTGTAAAGTCAAGTGAGGAAAATACACCTACAAGTAGTAACACAGTGGATTAAAAGTTATACTTCAAGTTAGCTCACACACACAGGCCAGTGCCTAATAACTACCTTGAAGCCAAGCAGAAAAAGATCAGTTTTAAGACCTAATGTGTCAAAACACACCAGAGCAGGAAGGATTCCCAGCTTCCAACAGTACAAAGCATTCCATTCTAGCCCGGGAGGTTGAAAATATAGCTGACCATAAATAGCACAGCACTCAGATAACCATGTTGGGGTTTTTTCCTCCCCTACTAAAATATTACCAGAATTCAAGTATCTGCTATCTGGAAAGCTGATCAAAGAGAAAAAATATTTAGATTCAGGCGAGGCCCTCAACCTTGGAAATATTTATTTCATGTGCCTAACTTCAGCCCCATTTCCTTCAGCAGGACTGCTCACATGCCTGAAACTAAAGCTTGTGTGTGTTTGCAAGGAGAAATTACTACAACTTGTGCCCAGATGAGTAAGAAATATTGTGAAACCCATGCAGAGGAGAACAGCCAGAAACTGCTTGCTTGACAGAACTAATCTTTAATTAGGGGATGAACAGTTGTAATGGAAGCTTCTTCACTTGCTTTATTAGTTTCATTTAAATAAGGTGTTGCTTGTTACAGGAAAACCCTCTAAGTGAACTCCAAATCTGAAAGAAAAGCAGCAAACACACCTGATCATGCCAAACTCAGGAGAGATGAGACGTAGGACAGGTTTGTTACAGGTTTGCTCATTTGTGGTTTTTATACATTTAGAAAGAGAAGAAAAGTCCCTCCCCCTCAATAAAAACACCAAACTTTGCCTGTTTAAAATGACCTCATCCCACTCCAGGAGGTTTCCACCAAGCCATCAGCCAATGAGAAGCTTTTGGCCAGCACCAGCTCCATGGATTTCAGTGGGAAAGTGAGTTTAACTGACAAGCTACAATCAGAATCCC